ATACATACATATACATACATACATACATATACATACATACATACATATATATCTATATATATATATATATAATTTTTAAAAACAAATCAACATGTGATTCCTTCCATATTGAGAGATAATTGTGATTTCCGTTGTCATTTTGACGTGGAGATGGTGTTACCTTCTCTTGCAAGCTTCTGTCATTACTTTCTCACCAATGATTCCTTCCACAGTGAGCTATAGCTGTGATTTCTTCCGCCAATTCTTTTTCGGGCGAGCTTCTGTCCCAACTTCCTTGCTTTTTTTTTTGTGATTGAGGATTTAGTGAATTTGGAGAATGAAGTTGGGCTCCTGAGCCCCCTGTATAAGGTGAACTGTCTGTATGCTCAATATATAAGCTTGAATTGACTTAATGTGAGTTCAAGCCTGCTATGAGACATGGGAGTTTAGTTTAAGTTAGCTATGCTAGGGCTTGACTCGACTCGTTTACAAACTAGACTTGTTATTCGAAATAACCTATTATTTTTGGGAAAGCCTCTTGGATCGTGTACCTCTTCCATGAATCACGAGCATGAAGAGCACATTTCAGAGTAGCTCGTCCATCCCTTAGCGATAACTTTATTCACCCATAGATTTTGGACTGCAAGAGTCCTTGAATAGTTAAGTTGGACACTGGTCAACTTATTGTCTTCCAAATTACCTTTACGTGATAGAATGAGGCAACGGAAGTATCTCACTATGGGAGTGGCTGCAGTTATTTGTATAAATAAGTTATTGAATAATTGTAGGAAAAATGATTTTTTTTTAATGTTGTGCCTATTATAGTTTCTTTTTCCTTTTTTGAAAAAGTTGAACAATAGCTTTCTTATAGCTATTTCACACTATATATGGACATAAAATTCTACTTCTCACTACAAAATTTTTAAAAACCTGCAAGATTGTATTAACCAAGTAGAACAGTGCAGCCATTGGGAAAGCAAAATTGTGTGAAAGTGGCCCCATTTGATGCCTAAATGCATTTGGACGGTACATGAATTGATGCTTGTAAGGAGAGATTCTAAGTTTGTTCAGAATATAATCTTTTTCTTTTAGGTTTATAGAGCAACTGGTTTATCCTAATATTCTTTTATCCTTGTGCATTCAAATACAAATATGGAAGGTTGACTCAGGAGTAATATTTTCATTTCTTTTATGACCTTAAATATTATGGTTTCAAGTCATGAAAATAACTTCTATGCAATGCAAGGGTAAGGCCTCCATATTCCCCCTTGTACTCTATTGGTGGGAGCTATCTGTGGACTGGGTAAACTGTATTTTTACATTAAATGCATGATCAATAATCTAAGTATTTTAGGTATCCTGTATTTTGGATTGTTGGTCCATGAAAGAATGAATCAGGTTGTCTTTATTGTGGTCTCAGAAGCTTTGACTATCAGTCATTTGGTCCCCCCCTCTTCATCATCTTTTCCTCACACTCACTATTTTCTTCATGTTCCCTCACCAAACCCTAAGTCATTAGGAACCCCATTTCCATCTCTCTCTCTCTCCCTCTATTAATCTCCTCGACGACTTCAACTTACAACACTACAATGGCATCTTCACGGTCGCTCATTGTCTTCTCCCATGCCGTGTTCATACTCCTCTCAATAGCTGCGAGCTCTGTGGTGGCGTCGTTATCTTCGTCTTCTCTGCCATCAGTGGATTGCATGCCGGAGTAGTTGAGTCTTTCCGGCTACCTGCCTTATGTGCTGGAGGGAAGCACCGTACCGAAGCCGGATGCCTCCTGTTGCTCGCCTCTGAAGAAAGGTGGTGAAGGAGATGCTATCCTGTCTTTGCCAAGCATTCGACTCTGGATCTACATTTGGCATCAGCCTTAATGTGACGAAAGCCCTCTCTCTGCCTTTTTCTTGTAATGTTAAGACCCCTTCTATCTCCAAGTGCAAGTTAGCTGTGTCTCACCTCCCAACAGAGCTTTTCAGGGTGGTGGGCAACCTAAGACTTAAATACTGCTTTTTGACCCTACACCTAGCCAATGTGGGATTTTTGTCTATGACATTCTCCTCCACCCAATCACGTGAGGCGCTCGTCACGGATTGGCTCTACCGAGGGTCCCACTGCAGCATGGAGAGTCCACACTCCTGGCATGTATTAATCTGCTCTGATATCACTTGTCACCTCCCAAAAGAGCTTTTAGGGGTGGTGGGCAGCCCAGGACTTAAATACTATTTTTCGGTCTTACATCTAGCCGATGTGAGACATTTTGCCCGTGATATTCTGCTCCACCCAATCACGTGACGCTCTCGCCACGGATCGGTTCCACTGAGGGTCCCATTAGACCATGGAGAGTCCACACACCTGGCAGACAGTAATCTGTTCTGATACCACTTGTCGCCACTCAAAAGAGCTCTTCAGGGTGGTGGACAGCCCATGACTTAAATATTGCTTTTCGGTCTTATACCTAGCCGATGTGGGATTTTTTATCTGTGACTGCTGATGCGCCTTTGGTAGCTCCTGTCCACGGACCTGGAACATCGCCCAAAACTTCTCCGTTGGCCTCTAGCTGGGGCTTATCCTCAGTGTCTTCGCCTTTTCAGCCAATCCTCAGCTGTCATCTTCCTCCTAATTCCATTCGGTATTCTTTTTCTGTTGGTTCTACTGCTTTCAGCAAGATCTTTCCTTACCCTTTAGAGTTATCTAATCTGTTCCATGTTTGCTGTTGTCGTTTGAGTCTGTGCTTATATTGATAATGTATTGTGGTGTATATGAGGTTTTTGTGCTTGCAAAAAAAAAAAAAAAGGAAAGGAAAAAGAAAAATAAGGTCAATTTCGTATATCTTGCTTTTAATAGACTAAATACTTCTCTCGACAGTTTCAAGTCCCTAGAGGTTCTGCCCATAAATGTTATGGGCTTAATGTGTTTGTGTTTTTATGTTTTCAGTAATTGAATGTGATTTTTCCTTCTTTCTTCATATGCATTATTTGCATTTCCATGTTTTAGCATCCAGATTACATCTGAAATATCATGTATGTGCCAAAGCAATAATTTTATTTATTTATTTTTATGCCCTTGATATGTTTTTTGACAAATATTACTCTCTCCAAGAAGTCTACGTGAAAACTCGTAACCCAAGCAAAAGTGGAGGACATCTTCAAATTTGATTTGTCCTATAAAAGTGGAGTCCACCTAAGTGTTTGTGTAGATCTTCTTGGAGAGTATATCATTACTCATATTTTTTCACTCTTTCATCTCGTAATTTCTGTCAGTTAAAGATTTTTTAGAATCTCCTTTAAACTATGTATCTGTATAATAGTATTGTAATTGGTGCGTGTGCTGTCCTTTTAATCTTGCAGACTTTTGTATTGGATGTTCATCCATTCAACCCTCGAATAGCTATGAGTGCTGGTTATGATGGAAAAACAATAATATGGGATGTAAGTCTGTTAATGGCATCTTTTAGTATTTTGTGAATATATAATGTAGCTGTTTTTTACTTGCAGATTTGGGAGGGGACTCCGGTACGAGTATATGAAACTGGACGTTTTAAGCTGGTTGATGGAAAGTTCTCCCCGTAAGTTAGTTTCATAAATGGTCCTTTTGCTATTTTTGGCTTTGTTTATTTGTTTCTTGGTTGATTCTGTGCATTTTGAAAATTTTAGCAACTTGTTTTAGCTCAGTTGTGCTTATTGAAATTTACTTTCTATCATTTTTGTAAATAATCAATTGGATTTCAAATTTTTTTCAATTTACATGTGTATTTGTTGCAAGTTAAAGTTATCTTTTGTTGGAATTTGATTTTCTAGAAGATTGAGATTTGCAAAATGCTTTGTGTGATGTAATCCTACAATAATGAACTTTCTTTGTGCCATTTCTAGACTGCCTGTTATGGTTCAGGCATTAAATCGAGAATATCTATTATTTCTTTAAATACCAGCCTTTTTCATCCGTAGTGCCTTATTTCCTAGAAGAAGCATAATTTTACATTTGCTCTTAAAGAAAAATATTTCCTAATTTTCCAAGTTAAATATTAGTTTCATGATGTTGCATAATCATTGTCGTGTTAAATATTAATAACATATCTGGCTTTGGTGGGAATTATTTTGATTGATGTAGTTGTTCTTGATCTTTATCAGTCATAGTGATTATTGCATTGTGTTTATCTATTCTCATCACTTTATATCATGCCTTCTGTTCTTAGGTTGCGCACGGCATTTTGCTTGGGCCTTCGTTATTACTAGCTTACTAGATCTTCACGTGTCCGGCTGCCTCAGATCATACTTATTCTTATTGGCTACCTTAAAATTAGAGAGGATAAAGTGTGAAACTAATATGAGAGTGATAACTCATATCTTTTGAAAATTTTTTACTTAGGATAGTTTCTGCCCTGCATATAAAAATTGGAAACAATCTGCGACAAACATTTCTAAAGCTGGTATTTTTGAAAGTAGTTTGAATAGAAAAGGGAGAGGTTGGCGTTGTTTGAAATGTTTAACTAGGTTGGCTGGAATGAGACATGATGCCGATTCACTTCTCATCTCAAAAATGAAGTTTTTGATTTGGCCTTGACATACTTCCAAATTGAGTGAAATAAGATCGATTTGAGTTCATTTTGAGCTATCTTGATTCAACCCTTCAGCTTTAAAATATTTCTATGAAAATATAAATTAAGTGTTTTTATTTATGCATAAGCTGTTTCTGTATATCTATCTATCCGTCTATCTTTTTATATATACGGGGGACTGCCAAATATGAAGTTGCCTTGAAGTTTAGGAGTGCAAAATCTAAATGAGAAGGGATCTAATTACAAATGGAAGAATATAAATCCAATATGGGGGACAACCAAGCTTGAACAAGAGAGAGAAACTTCAAATAAAAGAGCCTGCAATAATCTGAAATGTTTTCCACAAAGTTTTCTCCTTCAAACTTTTTGGGATCTCAAGAATAACTATAAAAGCCACCATGTAATGTTTTATTGATGATGAATGAACTAAATGATTTCCTTACCTATATCTCTTCTTCCACCTCTTTTTCTTATTTAACTGAGCCTCCAAAACTAAGCCTCTCCAACCCTATGGCAAAAATTCTTGGATGCGTTCTCTAATGACAAAGCCAAAGTTTGGCCTTTAACTCATTCTCAAAATTTAATTTTCTATTTGCTTTTTACACAGTGTATATAATTTCAAATATGGTTCATCATGAACATTATGCTTTAATATGTAACTTTTAAATATAACATACACTAGTTTTGATAGATAACATTTATAAAATGTTAGCAACTCATAGAACTTCAACATGTACTTCATATAATTTATAATTTGTATGTGATCATTTAATCATGAATGATAGTAGACAAATATGTATGCTATAATATGAAGATGAATCTAATACCTTGTTTACATTATAATCTAAAATAAATTTAAGGAATTACAGACTTCAGACAAAAGCATATTTGCATCATGAACTAGAGATGGAGTAACTTTAAAAGATTTGAGAATCGACAACTAGATAAGTTTCTTCGCAGCAGTCACCTCAAAATCTTATTTTTAATACAATCTACGAAATATAAATTTCTTATGTCATATCATTTTTTTCAACTTATACCTCAAATCTAAAACATAATATTCTTAAAATAACATTTTACCTAAAAAATTAATTCAAATAAATTCCTTTAGGCTTGCCAAACTGAAATTAAACTCAATTTTCTAGAAAAGAATGCAAAAATTTTGAATTTATTCAAACTGATGCTCTCCTTTCCTTTTCTAGTCCCCTTTAGTTCGAATGCTTTTCTCCTTTCTTTACTCTCAAGGTCTTTATTAGTATTGAGGGATTTAGAGATTGGAGTGTATTAATGTGTAAGTTACAATGCATTGATGCACATTCCAAAATTTTGTGCTTTAGGCTTTCATGAGAGTATTTGAGTGTTCTGGGACGAGTTTTCAAAAGGTAGATTCAATTGCATATAAGACTTCAAGAAATTCTCTTTTTTGCGAGTCTTTAAAATCTAGTTCTAGATTTCACATATGTGCAATGTGATTAATTACTCCTTCTGATTATGACTGATAATTTTTTATTAAAACTTGCTGCTTAGAGTAAATTAACAATAATTTGAATCCTTTGTTTAGGAGCAAATAATAGGAGAAATGACAACAAACCCAATCAATATCTTATACTTTCATTATTACGAGATCATATATGATTGTCTACCTAGCCATATGAAGTAGTCGGCTAAACCCAATCAAATTGTCTTTACCAGTAGCCATGAGCTGTATTGTTTAGGGAAATTTTATTGATTTGAGAAGAGTGTTATTCTAAGGGGATAATTTTAAATCAATCTTAGCTAACACATAGCTTTGTTCCCTATCATGTGCACCCTATCATCGCAACTCAAGTGGTTAGTCATTAAGGAACAGATGAGTTTCGGTCCTAATCGTAATAAATTGTTGTTATTTTGGGGTAAATCACCTTGGTAGTGTTCTGATTGTAACCGCTATTTTTATAGTGTGATTTTGTAATAAACTGCACATGCCATGTCTTTACTGGCATGAAATCATTATATGACATTAACTCTCTATATGCAATTAATATTAAATTTGTCACATTTGATAGATTGTTGTGGATGTTGTTATGATCCGATGAAGATTCTCGCATATAAATTAGGCTAAAGAAAATTTTTTTCTTCAATAATTCAAAATAACTACGAATATATAAGATAAACATCTAGAATTCGAGAGTTAGACAATCTCTCCCAAATCGTACAATTTGAGAGGTAAAAATTTTCTCCTTAATGCTAAGCTTAAAACTCAAAGACAATAATCTTATACATCACCTAACCTTAAACTATTACACACGGCTTATACCAAATAGTGATTAATGTTAAAAGACTAAATTGCATTTAGGCTAAAAAAAGATAAAATTACCTTTATGCTAGGCACCAACCTAATAATACTCCCCTCTCAAGGAAGCATCTTGTTCTTAAGTTGGATAAAAGAAAATTGTTGTTGGATCGAGCTCCCTTGCGTCTTCTTCATACACTGAGAATATATAATGTGCTGTCCTTGCAATGTTGTCATGGGAAAATTTTTTCATCACACTGGAAACATAATTCCTTCGCTAGCTTCTCATGAATCTTTATCTTTGTAAAGTGTTTGAATGTCCCCCTTGGTTGTGGCCCATTAATCATGTTTCGAGGAGCCTCCCTCTGGACTTTCACTATTTGAGTTTTGGGTATAGTCATGTTTGTATCATTTCGGTAAGGTGCTCCACTTGTGAGACTCCTATTAGCCTGTTTAGTTGTATTTTTATTGAACCAACTGCGCTATTTCCATAACTTCCCCCAATTCTCAAGGTCTCAACAAACAAAGTGTTGCATGTATTTTGGGCTTTAGATCCTTCTTGAAAATTTTCTTCAATGTTGCTCCGAAAATTCCTCTCAATCGTTTCGACAATAGCTCAAATATCTCCCTATATTTCATGACAGTTCCCTCTTGAGTCGAGACAAAGAATTGTTCGTGTAGGTCTCTTTCCGGAATAGCTAACAAACGTTCCAACAAGCAATTCTTAAATTTCTTTCACAAGCAGATCAGGTTTCTAACCTCCCTCCATTCAATGCTAGGGCTTTCCCTTCCAAACATAATCACTTTGCCATGAGCTTCTTCTTGTCATTTAGTCCATTCATCGTGAAATATCTCTCCACCTAGTATACCCATCCATGTGCATTTTTTTGCTCGAAAAATGACATCTTCAACTTCCTAACTCTAGCATCTCCAACCCGACTTTCTTTCCTCCAGATATTTTTCCCCATGTATTGAGGGTAACACTCCTTTCGATCATAGTCATACCCCATCTCAGCTTCTATCTTTCCTTCTTCGTGCTCCTCCATACCCCTTACATTACTCCTTCATGTTTTGGCTCAATCCCCTCTATTGAAAGTCTCTAATCCACCCTCTTAAAGTTCTAGGGGGAAGTTCTTGATGATATATGCTTTCCTCTTTATGTTTCTTCTATTTGATCACTTTCTCTAATCATTGGTTAGGGTTACTATTTGCAAATTGAGTCGTCGATGAGGTGTCTTGGATTGCATTTCAATAAGCTTCATTATCCTTTCATCCAAGCTGTCGAATTGGTTGTCAACGGCGAAAAACCTTTACTCTATCTTGAATTTAAGTTTTGATTCTTCTTCCTCAAGTTTCTTCTCCAAATCATCTATTTTCTTGGCCATTCCTCAATAAACAGTTTCAAAACTCCCTTACGCTGCAATCCATGGATGGCTTTCAATCACGAGAGGCATTGTAATGGTTTGAAATAGGATTGGATCAAAAATATGAATTAGATCTCAAATATGGTTGTTTAATTGTATTAGATCACAAAATATGAATTAGATCACAAAAAACATAATATAATAAATTCATTGTATTAGATCACAAATATAAATCCCATTTATCATGTGGTTCGTTAATTGAATATTATCAAAATGTATTAGTTTTGTAAATTCTAATTCTCATGAGGATGATGATCGAACAGACCCAGTGGGATTTATTTGTTAGTTCTTATAAGGAGGAGAATCAGATTGGCTAAGTGAAGCTCAGTTGTCAACTCCATTTTTTGTGAGAAAGTGGATTATACTGATTAAACGTTACTAACAACTATATTCTATCGGCAAATTCATTTATTAAATTGATGGGTCTATGAGTTTTGAATTCAAGTGTGTTAGAAGCACATTCGAATAGTTGCACTTTTCTCAAAACAGGGAACTTTTGAATTTTATCTTACCCCAGTTTCTTATTTCGTGCACATTCTTTAATGTTAAATTTGAGCACTTGGTATTTTCATCAACCATGTGCAACAACCAATTTCCCATGCACATATTTTTCTGTGCATTTGCATTATATATACAAGATTCAGAGTACTATAATTGAGCTTGAAAATTACCTAGTTACACCTACATGGGCGGCTAAGACAGCAGGTGAGGGTAGAATATGGGTTCACGACATTAGTTTTTTGGTAGAGTAGGCTATGACAGTAATAGGAGGTGGGAGGGACAGAGGGTTACAACACAATAGAGTGGGGTAAAGGAGTGGGTTTGCAATCGTAGGTTTGGTTGGCTAAGATGGCGAAGTAGCAAGGAGAGTGGTCGAGGGTTTAAGACTGAGAAGGGGATTAGGGATGTCCTGGAAAACAGTAAAGAGTGAGGGATTTGGGGTTGTAGAGACAAGCATGCCTGCTTTCCTTGGATGGCTACAACAAATACTGTGGCGGCAAGGGAAATGTTGTGGGGGATGAGAAAGTCAAAGCTACATAGCTTTGTTCCCTATCATGGGTAAGCCTTCGCTGCAATCTCCCAGGGTTTGAGAGGAGGCAGGGGGTTGCTTTGACCTCATTCGTCGAAGCTACTTTCTCCTTATCATATGGCATCAGGTCAACCACGTTGAAGGTGGTGAAAACGTTGTAATCTCCTGGTAAGTCAATCTTGTTGGTGTTGGCATTCTAAAGCACATCTTGATATAATATTTATACATCCTGTTTTGATACAGTCTTTACTAGAATTGTACGTGGATAAGTATCCCCACGAACCTAATCTTGAACCATCAAATCTGTAATCGACTTCTTCCACTCTTTGTACTCATCCAAATATATCTGATGAACAAGTAGGTAAGGAGGAATCAACTATGGGACAAAATCTATGGAAGGTTAGACCGCACAGAAGTATAACCACTCAGGAGATGCCTCTTCTTCTTCTATGAAATGACCCAGATCCTATTTTAGGAAGTTGCTTCCTATAAAGCTCCTAAGGTGATTTCCAACATCGTGGTTCATCCATCCCGTTTGATCAGTTGTCGATGGGTGTGCTGCTGAACTGATTTTAATACCCCAATGCCTCTTCATGGGCTTACAGAAAAGACAAAAGAGTCTCATCTCGGACATAATTGACCTCCCTTAGCTGGGGCTAACTTAGGAAGTAGGCTATATATATGAAAAATCTGAATTTCTTTTATTATGATTGCCCTATTTGATATCAACTCCTCAAACTCGTGGCCATTTTGGACATCCAATACCAGTTCTGATGACGCCCCTCTCAACGTCTGCAAAATCGTAGCTCAAGACACCATGATCTTATACTCTGCATGAATGCCTATTACCTCAGACTCACTACCTTCTAGAACAGTTATTGTCAACCCAGTTGAAGTCTCTCTTGGAGACTTCTCCTGGTCGATCGGAAGTTGAAAATTATCTTTAAAATCTTGATTTTCTCCTGGATCAACTTTTATTTTTTCAACTGCTCCTTGATCAGTGAATGCAATCACTCTTCTAGTTGTGTATTTTGATTCTATATGTCCAAACTCGTAGCACCTAAAGCATTTCTTGGCTGGGACAAATTTAGAAATGCGCCTTGGTTCCACATGTTCTCCACTTGAATCATCTTTTCTTGTAATGGAGTTAGCTTGGATGTTCTCTTGGGTGTATTTTGGCTGTAAGATCCTGAGGTTAAATTTTACCTGTAAGATATGGTGGTCCTCGTTGTTGTAGCCTCTCCACTTTTAAAGTTAGGGTCTGAAATTTTTATTTGTAGTAAGTTGGTAAAAACTTGCGCTACATATCCCGCTTCATCTTAGACTAGGTAGTAATCTTATCATTTCTCTCACGCTGGCGTATAGACTTCAAATTCTTCCCATGGAAACGTCGGGGCTTGTCTTATTCATCGTTGAAATTCTCCCTAGGGAAGAGATTCAGATCCTCTTTCCCCCTTTGACTCTCTAGATCTCAGTCAGCGGTAATCTCTCACCGAGTTCCGTCATCAATGTCTGCAAGCCTTTTTTTAAGGCAGGGGGGTGCTTTTGTGCTTTTCTAATGAAATTTTCCCATAACCTTGACTTACCGGCCTCTCTTCTCCCCTTAACTGAATCGGTTCAGCCCCCTACGGAGCCCCGCGTTATGCCATCACTTTTGTATGTGTTAAACTTTACCGCAGTGTTTCACATGGGGAATCTATTATTAGGCTATAAATAGGGCCGCTTCTTGAGTTTATTTTTAAATTTATTTTTTTCCTTGGGTATTTCTTTTATTTGCTTTGATTATTGTAGACTTTCATGATTTTTGGCCTTGAACTCCATTGATTGTTTTCTGCATTGCCTTTAAAATATTATTATTGAGTGAACTGAACTTAAATGCTTCCAATATATGAGAAGGGATATTCAAATGTTTATGTTATGGTGCTCATAAAGATCCTGTACTTTTATTCCATTCAGTTTGATAGGTTTCAATTTTTGTCTTTGATTGCGATTTAGGGATGGTACGTCACTTGTTTTGTCTGATGAAGTTGGTCAAATTTTTATAATAGCCACTGGACAAGGAGAATCACGAAAAGATGCACAATATGATCAGGTAATATCAAATTGTTTATTGTTCTTTTGGTACCAGATTTCATTGATAATTGTCTTATGAAAATTGTTTTTTGCCTGACGTTCTTTGATAACTATATTGATAGATTTTTTTTGTTCCTTCACAGTTCTTCCTTGGGGACTATCGTCCGCTTATCCAGGACACAAATGGAAATGTTTTGGATCAGGTTTGATGGAAATTTTAAGTTTCCATACGCTTAATTCATCTTTCTAACCTAATATTTATGCACTTTTGTCTTTTATAATCATGTATATATTTCTGAAGTGGAACTTTGTTAGAAGGTAATCATTTAGTATTCTGTGATACTTTTCTAATGGAATTTTCTCTTGAAGATTGGATAAACATTTTTGTACCGGTCAGGTTACAACCTTGAGAAAAGTCACTTAAATCTATTGATGGAGACAATACAGTGTGGTAGAATGGTAGATTTATGAATTAAAAAAATATGGTGTTGGGGTACGAATGAACCGAGTCGAGCATATTCTTGTTTGAGCTCAAGCTTATTTATTAAAATCAAGTTCAAGCTCACTTCGAGCTCCATCCAAGCTTTTAAGATTATATTTGAGCTTAAGCTTGTTTATCAAAATTTTTTTTGAGTTCAATTTGAGCTTGATTTATATTGTGAAAATCCTTGCTTATTTAACACTATAATTTAAAGCTTAATATTTATGCATTTTTGTCTTAATTTATCATTCTAACTTAATATTTATGAATTGTTGTCGTTTAGTCATTTGTATATTTCTGAAGTGGAACTTTGTTAGAAGGTAATCATTTAGTATTCGGTGATACTTTTCTAATGGAATTTTCTTTTGAAGATTGGATAAACATTTTTCTACCGGTCAGGTTACAACCATGAGAAAAGTCACTTAAATCTATTGATGGAGATAATACAGCATGGTAGAATAGTAGATTTATGAATTAAAAAAAATATGGTGTTGGGGTACGAATGAACCGAGTGGAGCATATGCTTTTTTGAGCTCAAGCTTATTTATTAAAATCAAGCTCAAGCTCACTTCGAGCTCCATCCAAGCTTTTAAGATTATATTTGAGCTTAAGCTTGTTTATCAAAATTTTGTTTGAGTTCAATTTGAGCTTGATTCATATTGTGAAAATCCTTGCTTATTTAACACTAATTTTGTTTGAGTCCAATTTGAGCTTTGTACACTTTTCACTGTATTCATGTCATAAAACGCGTCACATCTAGGGGACGACCTAGTATTTACACTATAATTTAAAGGATTCACGTCATGATTTTTCTGACATAAAATTTATATTGGCTATCAACTACCTAACACAACCCTCCCTTCACATAAAGTGTGCATTTTGTATTAAATGAAAAGAAAAGTACAACGAAACTAAGCAATGCCCCTAAGGCATTGGCAAAACGGTAATGTCTCCCTCAATAAAGCCAAAAAAGGAGGAATCACTATTAGACTTAAGCCAAAAAAATGAGCATGTTTGAAGTTCGTCAAAAAGGCAAGGTTTGGTCAAATGATAGGTCAGCATTTCCACTTGTCAGCTTCCATGCTTTGGCGAAAGAAGTCCATAACCGTGGCATTATCCTTCAATAATGTTGTCCCTGTATTTATACATCCACTTTTCACATTCGGGGCTTGAAACTCAGCAATGGCAGTGTTAAAAGATATTATTCATGAATAATCCTTAATCAAGCCGTGGTCGTGCTTCTTAACGAGTTTCTTCACATGCTTTAAATGATATTGTTCATGAACATACATGAATCGAACAATAAGTTGTTTAAACTTGTTCATTTAGTAATCGAATATTAATGAAAGTGTCGAGCCCATTCGATTAGTTAATTAAACCAACTTGACCGAGCTCTAATCAACCCGACCAATGAATAGCTTGTCGAACACTTGGTTCATTTATAGCTCTAGTATGCTATAATTCTAAAACCTAACCTTTCAGTTATTGTTCTTTAAAATTTTGAAGTAGATTGCATCAAATGTATTATCCTCTGATTTAGAAGACTAGATTGGGTTATCTTCTAAAAAAAAAAGGCTAACCTTGCAAATCATTTGGGTTAGATCATATAAAATATTGCTAGGAAAATCATGGACTTTACTTGGAGAGTTGCTAGTAAGGAATATATTTAATAATACATATGAAACAATATAGCTGATATCATGTTTGAGCTAACCTTGAAGGGTCGTGACCTCTGTCATTATTTTGTACCAAATTATCCAATAGGTTGATATTACTCCTTTTTGCTCGAAGATTATTCAGTTATTCAATAAATCTGGAATTTGCCATTAATATTAATAATGCAAACTTTTCATTGGCATGACTTTTGGACACTTTGGGGTAAATGAATGGATCCTCATAAGATCTTTGTTAAGTCCTGATGAGTGATATGATAATAATAGATTTATCAAGGGATGCACTAATTGAGTCCAGATGAGTGACATGATAGTGATAGATTTAATTAAGCATATATACCATGTATTATATTCAGGCTATTAACAACGGTTGATTACAAATGTGGTACATACATAATTATCCACCTTATGCAAAGGTCCCCATGAAGCTATAGTTTATAGTGCATGGCATAGTTTGTACTATTTTAAACATACACTAATAACAATAGGACTCTATAAGGTGGAATTTTTTTGTGTGAAAGAGTAATATCAACACCTTTATCAAATGTCAACTGTCGTCGTTGTTTGGCAAAGCTCTCAATTGTTCCTTCATCATCACCTAAAAAAGTCTCTATGATGCCCGCCGAAACCCTAACCTTCGGAGTTGCTAATCAAAACAATTGAGTTGAGTAGCCAAATGTAAAGCAAGGCATGTATGGTTCTCCACTTAATCCCCTCAACACTGACACTCTTTGGCTCGTCCCCCATCAAATACCTATCAAGCCTCTCTTCCCTAATAGAGCAGTCTCGATCCGACGTGACTAACTCAGATTCTTGGTCGGTCTATCAAGACTTCAGATCCACAAAAAGGAGATTTAGTTTCTCTTGCATCAGAGCAGATGTTGTGGTGGTCATTGTAGAGACGCTAGCTTCCTGTATGAGCCCGATCAAAACCTTCAAAACTTCAGGATCTATCTTCTCGAAAGCTTCAATCCTTTACCTCAAGCAATATTTTCGTCTCATTACATCTTCAATCATAAGACTAGATCACACGCGAATTTGATCATTTGCGTCTGTAGGTGGCAATATTATTGTTGCCTTTCTAGTTTGCTCTAATTGCGACTGTATCCTTTGGGTCACGCCGCAATCCTATGGTTTCCTTCCAAGTAGCACACCAAAATCCCATCGTTGCCTTGCCAGTTAGCTCTAATTGCGACTGTATCACAAGAATCTTGTTGCAATCTCATCGTTGCCTTCCCAGCTAGCTCTAGAGCCACACCGCAATCCTGTTGTTGCCTTTCCGGTTAGCTCTATTCACAACTGTATCTCGAGATTCACGCTGCAATTCCTTTGTTGCCTTCCCAGTTAGCTCTAATCGTGACTGCTTCGCGAGGACGAAGCGTTAAGGAAGAGAAAAAAAAGGAATTTTGGTTCTCTATATGCCTATCCCAACTCGTCGGATCTAGCAGCGATCCTACATTGCATGATCTTCAGTGTCTTTAGAAGTTGTGATCTTGCATGCTGCGATCTTCTACGATATTTGTCTCTGGAAGCTGCGATCCCCCTACAAATAGGAGCTTCGGGTCTCTATACACCTATCCCGATCCTCATAGACGGCTAGGTTTAGCTCTAATGCGAAAAAAGAGATAATTGCTCATGAAAAAATTGTTCTATTCATTATCCACTTGGGTTTATATAGTCTTACAATATTTTACAAATGAATTCTTCTATATTTCCTATTTACAAATAGATGTCTAAATTAGGTATAAATTTCAACACAACTCGTAGCTTGATTATTCAAATATCAAAGTTTTACTTCTTCTCATTTCATCCATGCTCATCATGTACTTGTCATACAAGTGTATTTCTATAGTTTTTTTTTTTTTTTTTTTTTTTTTTTTTTTTTTTTTCATTTTTATGCATGTCGTGACGGTTTAAGCGTCTGCTTATGCCATTTTAATGTATCATATATTGATTAAAGGCTGCTGCACTTGATGCAGGAGACTCAGCTTATACCATACAGAAGAAATATGCAGGATCTCCTTTGTGATTCCAGTATCCATTCATCTTTACCGTTTAAATTCTTCCTATTTATTTTAGAGTTTTATTATTCTTTGTGTTTAATGATCTCACAATGTAATGTCAGGCATGATTCCTTACCCAGAACCTTATCAGAATATGTACCAGCAACGTCGATTAGGAGCTCTGGGTATCGAATGGCATCCACCCTTGGTGAAGTTCGCTGTTGGCCCTACATACAATGCCCACACTGGTGACTACCAGATACTTCCCATTGTGGATCTGGACAGGCTGATTGAACCGTTGCCAGAAATAGCTGATCTTATTGATTGGGAACATGACAATGAATTGCAGAGTGAAGATACTGACTCGGAATATAATGCTACCGATGAATATTCGAGCGAAGGGGAACATATAAGTTTCAGTGGCAGTTCTACCGGAGAGGCTGAGTGTAGTGCTGCTGACAGTGAGGTTGATCATGTTAAGAAGGAAGGCCTTAGAAGATCAAAAAGGAAGAAGTTGCAATCTGAGGTAGATGAACGCCCTTAGTTTTGCTTTGATATTCTTGTTTTTTCTTCTATATAAATGTTTCTTCTTATGTGTGACAGCTTGATATTACCACTTCTTCTGGGAGACGGGTGAAAAGAAGAAAGTTGGATGATCATGATGGTGGAACTTTTGTATCAAAGGCTTCCAGAGCACGACCATCGAGAAACGGAAGAATAGCTGCTAGAAAAAAGAAATCAACATTGAAATCATTACGTCCTCAAAGACGTGCTGCACGCAACGCTCTCAGTCTGTTTTCTCAAATATCTGATGGAGAAGATGAAGATGAATTAGAGAGTACTTCCTCAGAAAGTGAATCATTGCTTCCTGATTCCAACAGCCCAAGCAATGAATCTGAAGGGTCGATGAAGAACCGACAGATGCAGCATGGAAAAGGGAGAGAAATTTCTATAGAGGAGCATGGTGATGCTGCAAAGCCTTCTATGTTGAATGACAATAAGGTGGGTAATGGGAGTAAGAGAAGGCTGGTATTGAAGTTGAAGGCGTCTAATTTTTCTGGCATGGCTAGATTGGAATGCCGGGAACAGGGTGCAGTAATGGCTTCCCCTGTAAAAACTAATTATGATTCTAGTAACTTTGACCAACTTCACTCTAGAGCATCCGAAACAGCAAATTCCTCTGCTGGAAGATTAGAAAACTTCATATCCCAGTGTGGTAGTGGTGCTAGAATCAGAGAAAAAAGCGAAATGGATATGTCAGAACCGGTCAACGACCTCGTTGGACACAAAGCTACTATGAAATGGGGTGAAGTTAAGCAGCGCTCCACTAAACGCTTAAGGTTGTATGACGCTTCAACTGTTGATATTGTAGAAGGTTGTGGTAATGGAAATCTAAACTGGGAGGGAGGATCAACCTCTAATTGTGAAAATCAAGCTATTGGAGAAGGTTTAGATAAGGTGGGAAATGGAATTAATGGAATGTTTGAAAATGATGCCTCAACATTGGATAATGGAAGAGGTTTCAAGAATTCACCAATTAATTCCCAGCAAAATCAGTTTGCATTGCCATTAACCTGCAGTAAAAATAGAACAGAAGCTCAGGATGATGTGCTCAATGAATATGAAGGAAGACCTATGACCAGTCAACATGCAGTGGTTGATGAATCTTTAAATACCTTTGAAATGGCTTGTGATAAGCTTACTTCTTCATCAGAAAATAAATATGATGCTGGTCATTCCCAGGAAAGGCAAAAGGTTTCTCAGTCTGTATTTCCAAAACTAAGGATCAAAACAAACGGGTTCAATAAGGAAACATACAAGCTGAAATCTGTTAGTTGGGATGATTGTAGAACCTCTGATGGTGATTTTATTTCAAATCGCGAAGTATCAGGTAAAGGCAATCTGATGTCAGTGGTGCCTGAAGAGGAGGGCACTACTGGAGATAGTGCGGAACACAGTGACTGGAACAATGGATCTGACAGCATGGAAATCTGGACGAACAAATCTTCAAATAGGAAGTTTAGTACTGTTTACAGAAGATCAAGATCATCTAGAAGCAGGAAGAATTGTAATGGTGAAATGAATGCTATGGAAGAAAGCACATCAAATTCCTACAACCATGGTGGAAATATGAAAAATGGTTACAGTGATGCTTTGGCCGAAGACGGCCATGAAAGGAGATTTACTAGCGCGATGGCTAGCACATGTGATTTTGGTTCTGTAACTCCTAAATTCAGAGGAAACTCGTCCTCAAACCCGCCAGATGGAAGGAAATCAATATCAAAAACTACACTTTTTTTAAGGTCTTTTAGAAACAGAAGAGAAAATCATAACACTGGCCTTAGACCTCCTGAGAAAAGAAGATACCAGCAAGCGCCCAAAAAGTTTCCATGGTTGATGCTGTTAGAGCATGAGGAAGCATATAGGTTCGTACCTCAGAAAGGAGACGAAGTTGCATATTTGAGACAGGTAATAGTTTTCAATATGCTGCTCTTGGCTTCATTAATCCAAGATTCTTAATGATTTGTATTTTTGCAGGGTCATGAAGAATTCCTCGAAGTGCACCCATTACCGGAGGCGAGGCCTTGGAGACACATAGAAGGAAGCCTTAAAGCTGTGGAGTTCTGCAGAATTAAGGGCCTTGATTATGCTACTGTTTCCGGATCTGGTGATAGCTGCTGCAAGCTTACTCTTGAGTTTATAGATCCAAATTCTACTGGTTTTGGTGAAGAATTCAAAATGACTTTGCCTGAACTCGATACGTTCCCTGACTTTCTCGTAGAAACAACGAGATATGTTGCTGCCACTGCGAGAAACTGGACGCACCGTGACAAATGTCAGGTATGGTGGAAGAATGCGGATGGTGATGGTGGGAGTTGGTGGGAAGGTAGAATTTTGGCTGTTAAACCTAAATCTCCTGAATTTCCTGATAGCCCATGGGAGAGATTTGTAATTCAGTACAAAAATGATTCTGGCCAACATTTGCATAGCCCATGGGAACTTTATGATGCTGATGTCCAGTGGGATCATCCACGAATTGATGAGCGGACCAGAAATAAGCTGCTAGCTTCTCTTGATAAAATAGAACAATCATCAATTCGAAATCAGGTTTATCTTATGAAAACATCAAAATTTACTTTTTTGCCTCTGTTACTATTTTGGCTTTTCAACTGATGTTTTTTCTTTCATTCCTGTAAATGTTGCAGGATTACTATGGCATTCAAAAACTGAGTCAGGTGTCACAGAAGACTGAGTTCTTAAACAGGTAATTATACTTCTTTTTTGTAATATACAAATATTTCCCCTCAGGTCTTTCCTTCCTTGTCTCTTTTTATATTTTTTTGTTTCAGAAAGTAGATGATGATCACGAAATATAAATATTTTCTGTTTCCACATTATTCCTTTCATCATTCTTTGTAATTTCCATCTTTGCAGCATTATTTTTAACTATGTTAATTTAATATGGCAGATCGTATTCAGTGTCTTTTTTTTATAAATAACATGGGACATTTATACATCCATAGCACAAAATTCATATGTATTTACATATCTCACACCTGAACTTTTAATTTATACACATAGCACTCAAATCTTTAATATCACATCAAAAATAATACTAATATAACTTTTTAAAAGTGAAATCCATATTTTCATGCATAGGTTTAAAGTGTTATGTATATGTGAAAGTTTAGGTGTGAGACATAAATACATAAGTATTGTGTGCTAAATATGTAAATTTTCCAAATAACATTTATCAGCATTTATTTCATTCAAATTTCATAGAATGTCAATCCATAGGCACGCAATAGATCAATTATACTTATGTTTCATCTCACTCGTTTGTGCACTGTTTCCGTGTAGGTTTCCTGTTCCATTATCCCTCGAGGCGATAAGGAGAAGGCTAGAAAACAACTACTATCGAACCGTCGAGGCGGTCAAGCACGATGCCTCCGTTATGGTTTCCAACGCCGAGGCTTACTTCATCAGGAGCGTGGAGATGTCTACTAAGATAAGGCGTCTCGCAGATTGGGTCGCACGAACGTTCACTTCTTTGTAGGGGATGGAACAATTTTGTAGGTGATGATGGTAATTGGTATATTTGTGAGGCTTTGTTCCTGTTGATTACTTGTAGATAGATTTCCATTTCCTTCACTAACTTGACTCTCTCTCTTGTTTGGCAATCTCTTACCCATTTATCCAATTTTTTTTTCTTTTGAGGGGATTAGATTTTCTTTTGGGGCTTCCTTTTAGAGGGCCCTTTTAGAAATAGAGTTTCAGGTGAAGGAAGCAGAGGTGGTGGTGGTGGGTTTGTTACCCTCAGAATTCTTTCAATGTATAGACTTACTTCCATCAATTAAATAATTGATGAGTAAAAAAAAAAAAACAAACATATATAGTGTGACTATTACAGATTTCTGCACTTTTGATTTTTTATTTTTATATTTGTAATTTGCTTATTTTACTGTATTTTCCCATTTGTAGTTTTGATTTAACAATGTTTGAAAATTCATTTTACAATTTCTGTTTGGGATTTATTTCTGTATTGATGAGAATGACAAGCTGGTTGATGCAACTTTTGTTTCTGCTTCTTCTTAGGCGTTTTCAATCCCTAGGCTGCGAAAAAATACTACATATGTACATGCATGATCCAGATACACGCAGAAAAACAAAAAATTACTGGGTCCTCCCAACATCCATGTCGTTTGTCGTGTATGAAAAACGTACGTAATATTTGCTCCTATGCCGAAAGAGATTTTTAAATTGGGTGCCAATAAAAGGTAGAGCAGAAAACCCTTTTAATTGGGAATGGCTAAGGCTGGTTTTAGATTGTATTTTTCTTCAAAAAATACTGAGCTTAAACGATCCTGTTGCAAAAACTTTACACTTACTGTCATATAGTATGAAATAAAACCAGGGGCATTTAAATACATAGAAACCATTTCTTATGTATCTACATTTCTCTGTATCTTGAGTATTACATCTAAAATATCATTCTTCTAACTTAAAAAAATGAAGTGAATCTTTTTATGCAAAAGATGGTATCTATATATATATATATATATAAGTTTAGGTAATTGATATGTAAATACATAAGATAGGGTTTTATGCCAAAAAAGTGGATCCTTATTTTAGCCTAGAGCATTAAAGTGAAACAAAATTAAAGGTTTCCAAATGAAAATTTTTAATTTAAAAATTCTTAGCACAATTCTGAAAGTATGAAAATTTTACTCATATCACTACATGCCATGCCAAATTTATAAGTGTGCCATCTAACATTTGCCCCTATTATTGGTGAAAATCAAGCCTTATGAAATAAAATAATCTATAATGTATTACAAGAAATTATTTGGCTTGGAGTGTCAAAATAGCTTGGAAAATTAATGTTTGGCAAAAATAGACATGCACTAAACATCTCATAATAATGGTCATTTGATTGTACATCTTGATTAATTTCATAATAATTGGAATGCTTGGCTGGAGTCAAATGAAACTAACTAATGTGTAAAAAGTCAACATTACAAGGCAGTATAACTCAGAGAGCATGAAGTAGTACAGAACATATAGCTATATATATATATATGCATATATCCTAGTATAAGTATTGGAGGTGATCGAAAAGACCAGCTGGGCGGCGGGGCGGCCCCTCAGCCTCCACACCACACTTGCTTGTCTCTTTCCAGCCCCATCACGTAAGCACATTTTTGAATTGTTATTTAAAAAGTAGATGATATGCATGAAATTATTTATTTTATTATTATTAAAAAAAAGGAAAATTTACATACATACCACCCAATTGTATTGACATATCTAAATCTTAAACTTTACAACTACAATATTTTATAAATGAGAAGGTGCATTTCACTGTCTAAAAGTTAAATTAATGATACTTTTATGTAATGTGAAAGATTTTTGGAATTGTAAATAGAAAAAAAGTAAAATTTAGAGGTTAGATATGTAATTATTTGATTATTTTTATTTATGGGCATTTATATACTTACCACCCAATGTCAATATATTTACATACCTAACACCTAAACTTTACTTCACATTTATACCACCCAAATCTTTCATTGTTATGTTTTTTGAAAGTGAAGTACATCTTTTGATGTATAGGTAAGGTGACATCCTGTAAAAATTAAAATTTAGATATTGGATATATAAATATATAAGAATTGAGGGGTAAAATCTGTCATTTATATACATACCACTCAAATTATATGTATTTATAAATCTAACACCTATATTTTAGTTTTTACATTTATACAACCCAAATCCTTGCTGTCACAACAAAAATAAACAAAAATACTATTATTTTAAATTCTAAAAGATGAAATGCACCCTTTCATGCATATATAGTTAAGGGGGCATGTGTCTGAAAATTAGATATGTATGTGTTAGCCATACAAACATATAGGAATTATGTAGATGCATGTAAATTTGCCTTAAATAAATGCTAGAGAAGGTAATTCTCACCAATACAAAGAAGGGAGAGTTACATGCCACAAAATTGTCATCTACTTACACATAATTTCAATTTTTTTAATCTAATCTCTAAATCATATTAAAAAAAACCCCTAATTCTAACTATCCACATGCATATATTTTGATATGATTTAGAGTAGTGTTATATAAATAGATTTCAAGTTATAAGTGCCAGATATGTAAATAGATAAAATCTAACATATTAAAAAGCTTATGGCCCTTTCTGTCCACCAATATAATCTACCAGCACAAAACTAAAAAGACTTTATAATATCTTCCAACGTCCACTTTTCAAAATAAATAAATCTTACAACGTTTAGTCCCACATCTCAGCCTAACAAAACTCTTCATCCACCCATCAACAGCCAATGCATAAATCATGCAGCTGAACTGGTTACCTGTAAAATACAAGGAATTTCAGGTTCATATTCAAGAGAGAAATTCAATATTTTTATATTCTAATTTGTCAATGCTATCTATATTAAAATCTAATTATCATGATTCTTCAGATGTGACATTAAATGTCAACCAACTTTTATTTATGAAATGTTATTCAAATATCTCAATGAATTAAATAATTATATATTTAACGGGAGATTTACATACATGCCACATTATTTTTATTTATTTGGATGGTTCTCATAGAGACCACTCAATTCTTACGTATTTACATATCTAACATCAAACCTTCAATTTTTACATATATATATATGCCACCTTACCAACGCATGAAAAGATGTATTTCACTTTTTAAAAGTTAAAACAGTAATATTTTCATGTAATGTGAAAGATTTGGTGGTATAAATGTAAGAAGTAGAGTTCAGCTGTTAAATATGTAAATACATATGAATTAGGCGGCATGCATGCAAATGTCCCAACTTTCTTATAAATCTATCTAAATTTCCATAATTGTTTCTCTAAAACCAAAGTCTTCAGCATTACATAGAAATGAACACTGAAAATTGAGTGGAAAGTATGCAGAAAAAATAATATGAGATTAAAGATATAGAAACAAATAATGGAAGAAATAATATTACCATGTATCTTCAAGCTCCAATGGGAAGTATGAAACTGGACTTCAGAAAAGAGAGTAGTTAACAGCCAGAACATGCTGCCTTAAAACTCTTATCCCATTGATCAGCAGGCTGCCACAGAGCATGAGGAACATGGCGGGGATGCTTCTCTCTTTTGTCGCCCTTTATCTGCATTAATGCATGTTTCAGTGCTGGAAGCAAGGCCTCCATACACTCAGCAACTGCATTTGGATTTCCCGGCATATTGATTATCTGAGGCAGAATCATAGAGAACACGAGTTTATAATTTTATAGAGCTCGATTTGATTGTCTGAAATTAGAAAATGTAAGAAAGATTTACATGCATACCAATTAATTTTTATGTATTTACATATCTAAGAACTAAACTTCAAATTTTACATATATGCCACCTTGCCTACGCATGAAAAGCAGTATTTCACTTTTTGAAGTTAAAATAGTGATATTTTTTATGTGATCTGAAAGAATTTGGTGATATAAATATAAACAGTAAAGTTCAGGTGGTAGACATGTAAATACTTTAGGAATTGGGTGGTATGTATGTAAATCCCCAATATGTTTCTCTATGCACAAGCAACCAAACGGGCCATAAGAGAAATGAGGAGGTTTCTAACTAGCGTTGATCCTCTGATACCAGCTGCAGCCCTTGAAAGCATGGCAAATGGTGTGACCTGTAAGTGAACAAATCAGATTAGGTACAAAGTCAGTAGGTTTCAAATTACAAAATCGTAACATTTAAAAAAAATAAAAGATTTACATGCATACCATTTAATTCTTATGCATTTACATATCTCACACCTACAACTTCAATTTTTACATATATACCACCTTACCTAAGCATGAAATGGTGTGCTTCAATTTTTAAGAGTTAAAATAGTAATATTTTTTATGTGATTTGAGAGATTTGGGTGGTTTAAGTGTAAAAAGTAAGTTTAGGTGTTAGATATGTAAATACTAAATACATAGCAATTGGGTGGTATAGTTAAATGCCTCTTTATATAAACATAATTTTTTAGATGTTTACATGAATGCCTATAAGTACATAAATATTGTGAAGGCACACATATGTATTCATGCATACATCCACTTAATTTTAAGTTGAACCAAAAAGATTTCAGGTGAGTCACCCTCGAGTTAAAGCACTTCGATATCTATTAATTAAATTAGTTTTAATTTTCAAACATAATTATCGATGCTTTTTTCAATTGGGTAAGTTGTCATTTTGAACGCACGTTCAAACATCATAAAAACATACAAAATCATAGATTGATATAAGCAAGACAACAAAGAGGATTGAATTAGAGATGAAGTACCTTTAGACTCTCTTGAAGCATTACAAAGGACAAACCAGGAGCATCTTTCTCCAGTAATGCTTTTGTGGCTTCAGGTGTGACATCCCTTGGGGTAAAGCCCGTTCCACCTTCAAAAATACATTATCATAATATAAAATTATAAATACTAAAGTAGAATTTCAGGACTAACCTAAAGTTAGAATAAAGTCAATCTTATCAATATCACTCCATTTCTTCAGAACTTCTTTAATTTTATCCACTTCATCTGGAACTACAGCTGTTGCAACAACACGCGCACCCCCTAGTGCTTCTGATGAGGAATTCACAACAGAAACAGCTCTCGGACCACTGCGGATAAATCACAACACAATAGCATAAAGTTGATAGACATCAATGATATTTGTAGTCAAGGTAAGATTTCCATGATAGTAAATATACACGCACAACAAACAATATTACTATAAAAAAAAAATAATATTCCCCCAGAAACTAATTTCCATTATAATGCATGCACACTTATTTTTTTTATTAGGAAGATTTACATACATACCATTTAATTCCTATGTATTTATATATCCTACACCTAAACTTCAAATTTTAAATATATGCCACCTTATCTAGGCATGAAAAGATGTATTTCATTTTGTAAAAGTTAAATGGTAGCATTTTTTATGTGATACGAAAGATTTGAGTGGTATAAATGTGAGAAAATTTAACTTTAGGTGTTAGAGATGTAAATACATAATAATTGAGTGGTCCGTATGTAAATGCCCCTTTTTTATTAACAACAGATGTAGGGAGTAACATAATTGCTATAACTGCCTGTCCTAAGCAAATAGCGATATTGACTCCAATAAATATAGCATCAAACTGTGACCTCATAGAAATGATGATTCAAAGAGGTGTATCGAGATGCACGTTTTTGTTTAATCATTCCACCAAAATTTTCGTTCACATAATAGAGGTAGTAAAATTTCAGTAATATTCCCAAGTGCTACTTTCAACCAAATCAATTTTTACTAATATTCAAATAAAAGCATTGAAAAAAAGACTACACTGATAATAATATAAATATAAGGAACAATAAATTAATAAATAATCAAGAAAACAAGTAATGTGAGACTTCTCCAGCAGCAGCTATTCGGTGGTCCTATGGTTCTTGGCTCCTAAGCATGTGGTGAATGGATCTATTGTGCCTGCAATATCCTTCTCTAGCAGATGAGAATTCTTATCTTGGATGCTGGCAAATTTGTGTTGCAATCCCTTTAAGACTTGCAAACGTTTTCGTGTCTCCACGATGATTTCGCGTCTACTGGTCATTCCTTGTGTGATTTTTCGGAAGTTTCCAGTCAGTTCTTTGTGGGCTGATTCTTCAATCCAATGTTTAAAATTTTGCAATTCAGTATTGAGAAGCTTTCCGTACTTAGGCGAGGTGTGAGCTTGAGGCAGTCTGAGGCAAACGCCTCACAATTTGAAAATTGTGTAAATCAAAATAAAGGGGATAAAAATTTTGAACTCAAGCAAAGATTAAAAAATACATAAATAAATAAATAAGGTTTAGAGTTGTAGAAGCTATTAAATGTTATGGAACTTGAAGAAGACTATATGGTGAGGAGAGGGTGGCGTCGACGACAATGAGAATGTCAATAGCAGGCATGGTAGGAGCTGGCTGAGTACCAGGTGGCTGCCGCTGTAGCAGCTAGAGCAATAGACAATTGCAGCGGCGACTACGGCGTGAGCAGCAAGCAATCGTGGCTGCTGCAGCAGTAGCAGCAGAAAGAACAGCCGGGCTTCAGCAGGCAGAGATGGCAGTGGCAGCGACAACAGGACAAGTCAGGCGGCAGCATGAACAGCTGACAGTGGCAGCTACAAGAAAAGCAAGAGGTGGTTGCAGTAGCGGAAGCAGCATGCAGCGGCAGCGCCGGTAGCAAAGCTGGCTGCAAATGCAGTAGTCGGTGACGCTAGGCAGCCATACTAGGGAGAGGGGAGCTCTTTGAACATGAGAGTGCGGCTTCAATTCATATTCGAGCACGCTTATATTCGGGGAATAATTAAGCATGAGAGGCTCACAACAACAAAAACTTTATCCCACTAAGTGGGGTCGGCTACATGAATCATTTTGCTCCATTGCATATCCTATTTAGTGTCATATTTATATTTTCATTTAATTCTAATAAATTAAGATCAATTTTTAAACAATATACCCAAGTAATCCTAGGTCTACCTCTGCCTTTCTAAGCACGAGAGGCGCACCCCTGAACAAAATTGAGGCAAGGTAATGCTTCAATCATCTGATGAACACCTCTAGCAACATTTATTGCTACCTCTTCATGTGATATCTACGAAGACTTCTTTTTTCCAAATATTATAATGCCAATGACTTTAGTCTTCATTACCATGTCTGTAATAATAACATTTTTTAAAGAATAGTAAATTAAATTAATTTAAATGAATTAAATAAAATAATGAATGAAATATATTAATTAAATTAAGAATAATTAAACTTAAAAGAAATGAAAATTATTTCAAATTTAAAAACCTAGATAATGAAATAATAAGAATTAATATTAAACTAATTATAAATTAACTTAATAAAAAAGGGAAATTACCTAGCGACACAAGTTAAACATTTCATTAATTAAAGTTAAAATTAATTAGATAAAAATAATAAATGGGAATGTTGGCGTTAAACTGATTAAAATAAAATTTTGAAATGGACATAAGTAAAGACAATTAAATTAGATAGAATAAAATTAAATTTAAAAAAAGAAACAAACTTAATGAACTTGATATATTGTAAGTAGACAAGATAGCTTGAATTAAATTGTTCTGAATTTATTCAGAAAAGCAAATAAACATGCGAATTGATATTTAACTAATTAAATTCAAATTAAATTGGATGCAAGAAATAAGGGTTAGAAAGATTAAATTTTAATTTAGACAAGAAATATATAGAGCTAATTGAATGGGATAATTTCTATTTCTATTCGAAGACCAACTTAATTGTTATATATATATATATAT